TATTCCACTGATATTTTTATTTCTAAATAAATTTAGCATATAGTGACATTTATGTGTTCCCTAATCTCTAGTATGTTCTCTTTATCCTATTCCTTGTGAGTTTGGAAGAGTTGTTTTTCTTACTAAGAACAATAAAAAAAAAAAAAGAATGAAAGAAAGAGTGACAGTTTATGGACTTGGCTGCTACATCTCACAGATCATCACATTTAAAAGATAAAAGCATAGATGTCACTTAGATTACCTTCCAACAAATGCAATTGAAAAGGTCACACAGGTATTACAAAGTCAGAAACAAGGTTAAGCAATTGCAAATGGCAGACTGAGCATAATATTACAAGTCAGTGAGCCAAACACAATTTCTTTGTAAGATTTATTTACTTTGACCTAAACGTGGTAAGACTTACCAGTCACATAAACATTCGTGTTTCTGTCTTCTTCAACATGAAACCATCCTAAAAACAAACAAACAAAAAAACAACAGTCTGAATTCAGTCACACCAATATATTAAACATGGAATCACATGGTAATATATTTCTGATGTTCATGTTCCCTCAGATTTGTAAGAGAGAAGGAGAAGCCCCAAACATACTTGAATTTTCTTTTTCACCTTATATACAGCCTTAGAGAGTTACCTATGAAGTACCATACTTGTTTGAAATCACTTCAAAAAACTTCAGAATGACAGATACATTTGCTTTTCATGGTAATACTGAACAACTGACAGTTTCCACTTAGTACTATGCAGGTTGAAGCCTACATAGACAGAAACTCTTCATCACTTACCCGGCTCAAGTTTCCGTTTTTCTGTTTTTTGTTTTGGTTCTGTTTGTTTTGGTCCTTTCTCATTTGCTGATGGTTGTGTTTCTGATGTCTTAGAACTCAGTGGTAGCTTATTTTCAGTTGCTGTGCCAGAAGCAGATGAACTGTCCGTTTCGTCTGCATTGAAGCCATAGTTAGCGTGATACGTTGCTAGGAAATCATCTGTTATCTGAAATTAAATGAGAAAATTAAAATCAAAAATTCTACGAATTACAAATTAACATTTGAAAGTGTTTTAGTGTTAATATTTTAGAATTTATCTTTTTAATTGTGGTCATTTTTCAACCCATCACCACAGAAAAGTAATGAATCATCTTTGTAAAAAGCCATATGGACAGCAAGAACTATGAATTCAGGTGTTTCCTCAACTACATTCACACATTAATGCACACAGCACAAAGTTTTTAAACAAACATTTCGCACATTCGGCTTTTTTCAAGCAAAGCTTTCTGCTTTCAACTTGAACTGGAACTGCTTCAAGGACAGAAAGCAAGCATTCCTTACCACATTGAAGAGATAAAGTGACACTGACAGTAAGCCAACAGCTTACCCAAAGATGATGGATGACCAACATTTGTAGGCATCTGTTTTTTCACAGAAACATTTACAGAGATGAAATATATTTGTGATGACAGGCCATAAATATTGCACATGAACAGAGTTGTATACTGACACACTGTTTATCAGGCTGTATATTCTACTTCATGTTCTGCTAATAGATAAGTAATTAGCTTACTTTTCTCTAGAAAAAAATTCTAATTGGATAACATATAAGATCAGCTAATGTCTATCTTTTAAAGACAGGGAACAAATGAACCACAGATGATACCAGTACTTTCAGCCAAGTAAATTTTAGAACTAGTCAGTAGCAAAAACAGGCAAAGAGATCAGCACAGAACCACGGAATGGCTTGAGTTAGAAGTGACCTCAAAGATGATCTAGCTCCAACTCTCCTGCCATGGGCAGGGCTGCCAACCACTAAATCAGGCACTAGATCAGGTTGCCCAGGGCCCAAACCAACCAGGCCTTGAACACATCCAAGGATGGGGCATCTACAACTTCTCTAGGCAGCCTGTGCTAGCAACTCATTCCCCTCCCAGTTCCCAGTGAAAAATCTCTCCTTTTTCAGTTAAAAACCATTCCCCCTTGTCCTGTCACTATCTACAAATGCAGAAAGTAGATTTTTCTCCCTGCTGAAAAATTCCCTTCATGTACTGGAAGGCTGCTAACAGGTCTCCCCAGAGACTCCTCCAGGCTGAACAAGCCCAGCTCCCTCAACCTGTCTTCTTAGGAGAGGTCCTCCAGCCCTCTGATCGTCCTTGTGTCTCCACATCTCTCCTGAGCTGGGGGTCCCAAATCTGAACACAGTACTTTCGATGGGGCCTCACAAGCACGGAGCAGAGGACTCCCTCATCCTGCTGCCACCCCTATTCTGATGTAGCCCAGGTTACTAATGGCTTTCTGAGCTGCAAGCACACACTGCTGGTTCATGTTAAGTTTTTCATCTGCAGGGACCCCTCGGCAGAGCTGCTCTCAAGGAATTCTTCTCACAGTCCACACATATATCTGGAATAGCCTCAGTACACTCAGAGATAATATATCATAGCTGATTTTATGAGCACCACTGCACAATAAAGTACTTTCTGAAGGTACACACTGAAATGTTTTTTCCTGAGTCTTAACCTTTGACCTGTACTGCACATTCTTCATCCGTATTCAAACGGAACAAAACTCCATTCCAACAAGCTACTGTAACAGAGCAACACAATGGACAGCAGCGTCAGCTATGATAAGGGACTCTCATACCTTCCACAGTGATTTGAAGCTCAAAGTTTCAAGCTTTTATTTTTGACAAAAATACACCAAGTTAACAATAACAGGCTTGCCATGAATAATGCAAAATGCTATAGAGCTCCACATTACTTAGAAGTGTAGCATGACACAGCTTCTGCACTGGCAGCACACCTCTGCTAGGAGCACAAGCAGCTGCTCTTACAGCACGGCATAACAGCGTCAATAACAAGGAGTACAATGATCTTTAGAGGACAAAAAAAAAACAGAAGTGCTCAAATAAGGATTGCTTGTGTCAAATGCAACCTGAGCGTTCTTAGTTTCAGAATGAAATCCAGAGAATTGAAAAGCTGTTAAGTTTTTTGGTGAACAGTATTATTCATTTTCATCAGAGAAGTTAGTGATAAAATCTCCAACAATGAGCCACTTCTATCCAGCAATACCATTTCCAACTTTGGGGGACCCAAATTCTTATGTAAAGCTAGATTTATTCTTAGCATATGACCTACTATGCACCAGACTGTCATGTTTTAACAGTCAATATCAGAGATCTTTCATTACACGTGATCACACTACTGCTTACACCACTACAACTATTTCACTTTTAAATATCTTCTTGCAAGCATAAGCAAATTAAGTACAACATCTAAACATGTTCAAAAAGCATTTAGATGTTGTCCTAAGGGATGTGGTTCAGTGGAGAGATTTGGTGGTAGGTGGATGGTTGGACTGGATGACCTCAGAGCTCTTTTCCAATCCTGGTGATTCTATGATTCTATACAGGTTTGGGGCTTTAACCCAGTTCTGGTGGCAAACAGCATGAATAAGAGATCAGTTCTACACTTATGCCCGCTGTTGTACAGTTTGGGGCACTTAAGCTTATAAGAAAAGAAACACAATACTACAGGACATGCTACCATATAATTAACTACTAATTACACTGAAGTGGAAAGGAATTAATTATCCAAATGAAGAACAGATACTTTAGGCTTACAGAAAACATCCCACAGCTGTTTTTTCATAGCAAGCATGGACAGCTGATGAATTCAATAAAAGACTTTGTGCTGTCTCTGTGAAGATCAATCAAAAAAGTGGTACCTATTGATATAGTGCCACCAAAAGAAAAATCATTAAATAATAGAAGTAACTGCACCTTTCCAATTTTTTTCTGAGGAACTCTTTCAGCTAATATCAACTCTAGGCACTGCTTTGAAACACACAGTAGTGAAGTTCCCAAGGTGGAGAAGCACTCGCATACTAGCCTACAGATCTTTAACCAAAGTAACCTGAGATACGATAACATCTAGCTCACCAACCTACCTATAACACAGAGCTGCACTAGGATTATTTATTAACTTCTACTGTGAATCATATTTATTAATGAACTTTTCTGTTCTTACATCATTTCTCCAAACTTGAGAGAAGGACCTCATAAGCTACGATATGCCTCACATCAGAAACCAGTATTGCACTTAATTCAGGTCAGTAGTAGTTCAAGTTAAATATTCACAGCCACCAGCTGGATCAAGCTTCTCAAAAACAATCAACCCCCCGATCTCTAACATGAGATAAGGAAGGCATTTTAGGAAAGATTAATGCTCCTGAGAGAAAAAGACAGCTAAAATACATGAGAAAGAGGGAAAGAAAGAGGAACAAGGGGAGGAGAACCCTTTCAGAACGCACTGTGCTGACTGAATGCATCCCTCCCCAGGGAGCCAGGGATACCCACTTCTCTGCTGCTCCACTTTGGCGGCCCAGATTTTTCACATGGTTTTAGCCCTCTGTAAGCCATGTGCAGCACGGATGCACTGCTAGGTTTATACAGACACAAACATCGCATAATTGGTTTCATTCTCACTCAGATTCACAAATTCATGGTCACAAACACAAACCGGCACAGCAGATTTACCAAATATACATTACAAAGCAGTTCAATACTTGTAAGTGAAGTAGTTACCTCTCACTGTTACATAGCAACAGCAGCATTCTACCTGCAGATCAAAACACTGGCTGACCAGACTAAACTGATATAATCCCTAAATTCATCAGATATTCTGAATATTTGAAAAAATAATAAAAAAAAAGGAAACTGCGATGTTTCTGGTCTGTGCAAAATCTCTGTGGTCAAATACACTTAATTTTCAAGTGCAAGATCTCAGGAAAGGGAAGAAATGTTTAAATTTGCATAGCTTTCAAATAATAATAAAAGAGAAAACGGATGCATTTCGTTATTTTTCGTCTGGGCCTCTATAATGGCCATTCCACTGCTCCACTTCGACCAGCAAGACAAAGATTGCCGCAGATACGACGATAAGAATTGAAAGTAACACTAAATCAGAAGCATCGAAGGCCGCTCCATTCAGAGCCACGGCCACGAGCCGCCGCCCCGCACGGCCACGGCGGGGGGACGCACCTTGGGGAACCAGGCCTTCTTCTCCCGGTCCCACTCGTAGGCGGCCCCGTCGGCCGGGTCCACGTAGGTGAAGGGGTCGGCCTCGCCCTCGCCGCCGCGCTCGGTCTCGTACTGCTGCTGGAGCTGCAGCTGCCGGTAGAACTCCTCGTTGCCGTCCTCGCCGCTCATCCTGGCCCTGTCGGCGGGCCTCGGCGCTGAGTGAGAACGCAGACGGCCGCTCCGGGCCTACGTACCCGGGCCTACTCGCCCGCGCTGCCGACTGAGGCGCTGCTCGCCCCGCCCCTCAGAGCGGCGGGGCCGGGAGCGCGCGGGGAGCCGCGGTCACGCGCAGACGACAGCGGCGGGCACGCACCGCCCGCTCAGCCCCGCGCCGCCGGTGACCGACCCCAGGCCTTGCAGCGCGCAGGAGCGGAAGTAGCCCCCAGCCCGCGCAAGGAGCTCCTTCCTTCATCTCAGCCAATGAGACGCCGGATGGCAGGTCACGAGGAGATCCACGGAGCCAATGGGAAGGCAGCGTGGTCTTACCCTGCTCGGAGCGGCGGGCGCGCGCGGAAGAGGCGGGGTTTGGTTGTGGGGGCGGGCGGAGCCGAGCGGTGATGGCGCCTCGGGCGGTGCTGGGGCGGGAGGGCGGCGTTCCCGAGAGCTGCGGTGGGCGGCAGCGGTGCCTGAGCAGGCCTGGCGTGGGAGCTGCGGCCGTTTTATTCACGGGATGGAATAAAGTCTGCCGTGGGTGAAGCACTGTAGCACCCCGTGCCTTGATGCCCTTCCTTGGGCAGCTGCGCACAGCGGCTGACTTGAATCTGTTCTCATAACGGGGCTTCCCTTGTGCCGTCTGCAGGTTTTCACTGCAGTCCGGATAGATCTACGCCAGTAGCAAATTTACTTGCTAAGGGCTATATTGAGAGGTGTTTATTTGGAGAGTGAAGAAGCCTGCTGCTTATGCCTCATTATGCAGAGCTTAACCTTGAGCTTTAAAGTGCGGGCACTGGGGCAGTGCAGGTGTGTTTGCTGGCAGTGTCACTGCCCTGTGGAAGCTGCAGGGCACACTGCCAGGTGACTCAGTGGCAAAGCAGTCTTTTCACTCGGAAAAGCAACGCTCTGTGCAGAAGTGTTCTGGAAGTAAGTATTCCGTGGATAAATATATCCGCGCTGTCAGACAGACTGGAATGATAATAAAATCAAAGATACAGTTCTGAGCGTCTGAAGCTCAGTAGGGAGTGACCGACATAGCTAACTGGCTGGTCAACAGACAGCCAGATAAAATTGCTTTGGATATAAATAGAGACTTTCAGTAACCTTTGGCTGTTACACAAAGAACACCCAGCCTAGTTAATGGCTTCTTTCATGCTTCAAGAATTTTCTCTTGGCAGAGCTGTTCCGATAATCATCCAAAAGTTGTTGTATTATCACTTATGATCTGACAGCTTAAGAGACATTTCTGTCAGCTCTGAAATAGCTCATTTTAGTAGGAGGCTTGTTGTAAGCTGTGCTTACTTGAAAAATAAAATTGATCTAAATGTAGGTCAGATTACTGTCCTTTGTATGTTCCCGACACCAATAAGATCAGAGCAGCCTGTATTGATGTTTGGGGGGAAAAAATAATCAGTGAGTCAGCTGCTGAGGTTTGATGCCCACTCATTCCGTTTCCACTCTTAGGTGGTAACATGAAGAGAAATCCAGTTTAATAGGCCTGAGTATTTATTTGCAAGGTTTAAATTGGAATATATTTGGGAGTATGATAATCACAGCCTTAAATGCTTTAAGAGTTTCACAATTGAAGTCTTAGACCACTAATCTGATACTTGCAGAGTTTTTCACATTTACAGCCTGGGTAAATGTAGTGAACTCTGTGTCCACATGTTACAGATTTCCCAAGTGTTTTGCATTTCACTTTAACAAACGCTTGATCTGATATTCTTGGACCAAAGAGCCAGAGTGCTGGTATATAAGCTGCTTTTTTTTCCTGCTAGAGTGCTTAACAGTAAACTTAAAAATTCAAATTCCTTCTTTTGCTGTGCAGGAGATATTTTACAGATTGGCATGGCTGTGGCGGGAGGATTGGAGAGCACTTTCACTGTAGCTCTGCCTAAAACAAGTCCACCGAGCACTATCCAAATTTAATCCCCACAAACTGCTAGAAGTAAGAGCATGATTGTTTGCAGCAGGGTTATCCAGCTAGCGAACATCAGCTCCTTCATGGTAAGTCTGGTCTGTATACTTCTGCTGCAGATATGAGGACAAGCTACCTCAGATTTCTTTGCACTTCCCACAGAGAACACTATGCATGAAGGCAGCTACTGCAGAACAGCTGACATCCAGTAGCTTCTTACCTTGTCACCGCCATCTGTTCTCTTCATTTTAAGTAACAACCGCACAGTGAGCCAGCTCAGGGAGCTAATTCAGCTGAAAACCAGTAATTTTTCTTTCTATCTTTCTTTTTTTTTTTTTTTTTAATCAAGACAGCCTCAGTCACACTCTTGGAATAATTGAATTCATGGCTGCACAAGCACGGCTGCTGTAGCAGGGTAAAGATGAGCTGCAGGTTCTGGGGACAGAATGTCAGGAAATGACATTTTAAATGACAAAATATCTCAAAGCAAAAAGTAAAAGGAGGCATTAGCATGTAATCTAATTATGATCTTGTATCTGTGTTTGACTTTTCTAAGTGATAAAAGGAAATCTTGATTCATCAGAACTGAATGTTGTTCCAGAGATACCACCTACTAAAAGTACCAAAATCTTGGCTTCATAAAGCATTCTGATATTTATTAAAGCAGCACCAGCTGTTCACTAGCTGACAGGTAAACATGTAACACTTCATTTCTTAAGAAGATGCTTTGCTATGTCGTGTCAGGTAGGCATTAAATACTGATTCATTACAGAGAGGTTACTCCCGTGTGCTTTCCCTGAGGCTGGGGCCTGCAGCTCTTACACACAGGCTAGTGAGAATGACTGTGAAAACGCTGGTGGATCTAGGTGTTCTAGAAATTAAATACTCCTTCCTGTGTTGACAGTGGAAATTCCTCAGAATAGTTCACCTTTCACTGAGGGGACCAGCCTTAGCAGAAGCCATAACTAAATACCAATTAAAGCCTGTACTTTTTTTTTTTTTTTTTTTTTTTTTAAGTATCCTTGATTGAAATGTACAAGTCCTGTAGCTGTGAGTAAATTTAGCTTCTTCTTTAATTGCAGTATTCTTAGCAGAAACACATGACCATCAGTAGGCAGCCCATTTTTAACTGTAAAACAAAATGATGCTTTCTATGGAAACAAGAGGGCGAACTATAAAGTGGTTATAGTTTTACAAAGTGACTTTAACAGTCAGGGCCATTTGCTGGAGATGCACTCTGTGCTACAGTATTCATGCTTTGACATTCTTTTGTTAATTTTTTTTTGTGGAAAATATCCTTCTGAAACCAATATCTTATATTGAAAGCACAAATTAGAGCTCATACTTAACCTGTTGCTAACAAAAACATTATTTGTTACATCTCAATCTGAAATCTGGCAATGTGTACATATAAAACAAACTGTAAAAAGGCAAACCCTAAAAATAGTATTTACTTACCCAGTAAAACTCCATGTGAACAAGTCCTTTCACAGTCTTGCCTTTCTGTATTTTGTACCTTTCTTCTACATGTTATTTCTTTGTGGGTATAAATAGTAAAATTGCTAAGTGACATTGAATATTTCTGTAAATAGACATCCTTCCCATATTCTTTGGTAGAATTACACTTGTACTACTTAGGGCTGAGAGAGCTGTTTTTCAGCACTGAGAAAATACATCGAAAGAAGCAAATCTTTCCCCTGAACCCAGTTATGGCAACACAGAGGTGTTTTATGGATATTTATATTGGATAAGTAGATGCAATGAGAAACATCAGATCGTTCAGATAAAAATATTGTCCAATATATCACTGTAATTCAACATCTCATGAAGATTTGAAAGTATGGAATTAAAGCATACAGTACATGGAGTACTTAAATTATGGCTTGAAATATGTGCAGCATATAGTAAAAACATCAATTTTCTAGTACAGCATATGAGCAATAGATAGACCATCCAGCTGGAGGAGTCATTACACAAGCAAAAAGTATCTGCATGCAGAGAAAAGAGTGGTGAATTAGGAAACAGTGATTTTTAAGGCCTACTGTATAGCAAGGATTTTGCAGTGGGAAATATGCCCTCAGACAGAGACAAACTGTGAAGTCCAGAAACATGTGGCAGATTATTTGCTAAAGGCTTTAATGAGCTAGAATCAAGAGTGGTGTAAAGAAGTGCAATGTTTGTTGATCTTTCTTTTATTTAGAATTCTCTGTAGTAAGATCTAGGAAAAGAAAAGGAGGCTCTTAAACATGTAGGCTTATTTACCCATTTGTATCTCACTGTGCAGTTCCACTAAATAGAATGAGAATGGGAAAATATCAACAAAATATGTACATACTTGTATGTACCTCAGTACCCAGGAATGTGTTCTGTTCAGACAAAGAGAGTGAAAATAAGGTCTCTGGAGTCCACTTTCCCATAAATTGCATTTCTGTGCTGTTATGTTTCCATTTACTGCAGTGGTCCTATCGTGGTGTACAATTGATACAATAAAATGGAGACACCATTTGAATAATTAGTGCTTATCGCCTTGCAGCAAGTAATGTGAAGGGAGTAGTAAAACAAGGCCAGGCTTGATGGCATTAAAATGGGCTATCATTAAACTGGTTTAAGAGGACTACACAGGTTGTATTCCAACACTTTTGGGGTTTCTAATGTGATTTTATTATTCTGATGAGGGCAGTCAGAAAAGAGAGAGACTGCAAAGAGATTTTCTGCATCATATAACGAACTCAAATAACAGTGCGTGGATGGGTGGATTTCCATCCTTTTGAAGGGCTGTGTGCAGCTGGAGGAGCATTATGTCTTCAGAGGTTAGGTAACCTGTCAAATAGGACATCCAATTCAAACTTCTGTGACTGAGAGCTCCGTTCTGTGTGATTCATACATTGCAGCCTCTCTTCAATAATGTAATGCATGTATTCTTTTTTTGAGATAGAAGTCCCTTACTTTATGCAGTGGAAAATCCACTGTGGTTTTTTTTTAATCACCGACTCCCACAGAACAAAATTTCGGTTCAGGGTACACAGCTTAATAAAAACAAGTGTCATTCAACACTTCTGTAAGGTGGGGTCAGAAGATTTGCTTCCTGTTATTTCCTGACAAGCTGCTGAGCTTTTTAGGGATATAGAAGCTGCCCGTGATAGGCTATCATTGACTTGTGTTATCAGAATGAGTGGATGTGAAATGAGAAAGCTAATCTCATAAAAGCTAGTGCAATGGAAAAATCCAGCCCTCCCAGCATGCTTAAAAATGTGCAGGTGATTTAGAAATGACC